AACAGATCTCAGATTCCTCATGGTGGTGCTGGAGGCCATGGCAATGCCATCCAAAGCAACTGTCTCTGCAGACAATGTGTATCGAAAGGGGGCAAGGCCCAAGTACCACACCCTCGGTTTTTTCAGAGTTCAACATCAAGAAATTATAAAACATCCAGGTCTTCACATCCTTGATGCACGTTTGAAGCCTAGCTAACTGGTTGGTTTCGTCAGTTCTGATAGAAAGGTATAACTGAGAATCATCAGCATAACAATGTAAATTTATAATGTGGTTCCTAATGATATTACCTAGCAGAAGCATATATAAGGTGAATAATATAGGTCCAAGGACTGAACCTTGTGGAACTCCATGGCTGACTCTGCTGTGCTGTTGTTTACATGTACAAACTGGGTGCGATCTGATAAGATTTAATCAGCTTAAAGCAGTTCCTTTAATGCCGATCAAGTGTTCAAGTCTCTGTAGTAAAATATGGTGATATTGCCGCACTTAGATCTAACAAGACCAATACAGAGACTAGTCCCTTATCTGATCTAAAAGATAATTAGAGATTTTCACCAGTGCTGTCTCTGTACTATGATGTATTCTGATCCCTGACTGAAATTTTTCAAATAAGTTGTTGCTATGCAAAAATTCACAGAGTTGATTTGCCACAGTATTTTTCAAGGATCTTGGTTATGATATCTGTAACTGTCTAAAACCCCTGGATCAAGAAGTTTTTTTAATGACCACTTCCTTAAAAAACTAAGGTACATAGCCTGTTGTCAAGGAAAGGTTGATAATATTTAACAAAGAAGTGCCAACTGAGGGCAAAACCTCTTTGAGCAGTTTGGTTGGGATGGGGTCTGTGAGGTAGGTTGTTGGTTTGGACGAGGACACAACTGAAGTAAGTTGGTGGAGGTTCATGGTAGCAAAACAGTCCAAATATCCATAGAGTTTTAAAGGTTCTTCTGAGGAGATAAAGGGCACGTCGGCTTCCATTGAAGGCAGGAGGTGCTGAATTATATTTCCAATAACTAAAATTTTGTTGTTGAAATAGTTCATAAAAACGTGAAAAGGTCAAGAGGGACACATTGTTCCTTAGAACTGTGGCTTCCCGTCAATCTGGCTGTAGTATTGAAGATGAACCTGGGATTGTTCTTATTTTCCTCTATTAATTTTGAGTAATAGGCTGCTCTGGCGCTGCGGAGGGCCTTCCTATACATTTTCAATCTATCCTGCCACATTGAATGAGAATCTTCTTGATGTGTAAGACGCCATTTCCTCTCAAGTTTCCGCGATGCTCTCTTTTTCTTTGACAGAAGCCAACCGAATCAAGCAGTGAACTAAATGCAGTGCTGAGGCTGTCATTCTTGACGTCCACATGAATATTAAAATCACATACAATCATCACTTTTTCTGTTTTAAGGACTAAGTCGGATAAAAATTCTGCAAATTCTGATAAAAACGGGGAGTAAAGACCGGGAGCACGGTACACGATAACAAATAAAATCTGGAAATCTGCATAGGTCTCCAGGTCGGGTTTAAAATACCAAGAATAAGGCTTTCAAAAGAGCCAGACCTTAGTTTAGGTTTTGACTTGACTAAAAGGCCTGAATGAAAAATAGCTGCAGTCCTCGAGGCACCGACCAGTCCAGTGCCACAGTCATCATGTCCCAGCCAGGTTTCAGGCAAACAGAACAAATCTATATTATGATCTGATATTAGTTCATTAACTAGTTCAGCTTTTGAAGAGAGGGATCTGACATTTAATAGCCCACACTTCATTTTCATGTTATTATGTTCTTTTGGAGCAGTGGTATTAATCTTTATTAAGTTGTTAGGGAACAGTTCCTATGGGAATATGAGAGTGATGCATGTTTGACACGTGGCACATTTACTTTTTGCTTGACACGTGAACACAAGAAACAGTTCAGAGCTGAATTTTTCACCTGAGAGAAGAGGAGGTGGCCGTTCTCGTCACACGGCAGCATGTCGTCCACCAGCACTGTGGTCCACGAGCCGTCTTTGCATAGACGCACCTGATAGGCTCCTTCTGCACACAGCGAGCGAGTCACCATCACTTTCTCCACCAGCTCGGGTCGTTCAGCCAGAACAGCCAAGGCACTCAGGAACCTGTTCTCCGAAACATTCAGCCCAGCACACACACTGGAGTTTAATAATACAGCTGCAACCTTTCAAGCCCGCAGCGGTGAGGGTCTGATACTGAAAGGGTGTTTACTGTTTCCTGCAGGAATCACTCACTCTGTGTGTGTAAAGTCTTAAAGTAGGCAGAATAATTTGCTGTTATCGTAGAGGTAATACTGTAGGGCTACATGAGTTACATTAGTCAGGATAACTCACTCGACACCACCCTTTTTTGAGATGCTAAGGATGCTTGCATGTGTTATTATTATTAAGAGGCATGAGCTCATTAATTCACTACATTACATATCCTCAATAAAAATTGCTTCATAACTTCACATTAAAACGTTGACCCTTATTCATGAAACACGCACAGATTTGATCTCAGCTTGTCTGTACAAGCACAAGAAACATTTTTAAAAGATTAACCAGTATTTTCTTATTTCCAAACTGTTTGCAGAGAGTTCCTGTCGTGGTTTGGGGTTTAAGTGTTATTATTTGCTGTTTTATTTTGTTAAACCCTTTCTCTTCCTTCTTTAGGTGCTTTCACACTACCTTATTTTCTGGGAGTATTACGCCAATATGCCGGCTCGCTGAGCTGTATGAAAGGTACGGAGCCGGGAACGTTGGTAGTAACATAGGTAGAATTATGTCTGTATGAAATGCGGTCTTTTCCTGTGCAGATGGTTTCAGAAAGCCGGATCGCTATGTGAAAGCACACATGGTTGAGGGATTATGCCGCAAATGCTAGTTTAGTATTAGTGTTGGGAGTAACGCATTGCAAAAGTAAGCAATTACAGTAATGAATTGTTTTTTGCTGTAACGCAGTAATAAAAATTTAAAAAAACGTAATGTTATACCCGTTACAATCTCAATAACGTGCGTTACAACGCATTTTAACACGAAATTACGCTGTGTTTTTTTTAATATATAATTCACCAACACAGAGAAGCTTTTCGGCAGCAGAAAAACAAATCCATGAGTAATAAGAGTAACGTTATTTCCTGCTCGGTTCCTCTTGACAAGACGGTAGCTCCACTGATGGATCATGCGTAAATAGATTTCTATTGGCTATGTGTCTGCACTTTAATGAATTAATTTCCTGATCAGAGAGGCTGCTGTCTGTTCATCCTGACTGATCCTGTCGGAGTGTCGGGAGATTCAAATAATCATTGACGTTATGCGCTTTACCACGTGCGTAAATTCTCACAGTGTCTTTCTAAATGGGGACGGGATTCATATAATTTAACACAAAAGTAGTGGAAAGCGTTCAGAGACAGTAATATTGTAATATAACTAATTACTCTCAAACGACAGTAACTAGTCTATAATGTATATATATATATATATATATACACACATTTGTATATATATATTTGAAAAAGAGGTTTTAAATCTCAATGAGATCATTTGGTTAAATAAAATTTAAATTAAAAAAATGTATGCTTGGATTCAGCAGTAACTGTTCTGCTCTTTAATGTGTGGAGCTGAGTTAGCTCACCAGCAGTTACCCAGAAGTCCCTGCAGGATGTCAGATGGGCGAAGCGTGCGGAAGACAGACCACTTCACCGTGCGTTCTCTGAAGTTGCAGCAGTTGATTTCTTGAGGACGAAGCCACTTCTTGACGCGATGTTGGACGCTGTCGTCCACGGGGAAGCCTACGGACTTCGGACCAGGAGGGAAGCTGTCGTCCACAAACGTCTCTTTGTTCTGGGAAAGAGTGGATCCAGTCACAGGAAACAACTGGACCTCAAGTGCATTGTAGAAAAAGAAATGTTACAGACAACTTGTGTGACAAGTATAAACCCAGACGTCTGGTTAATACTCAGATTCGCTTGTTAAAACGGTAAAACGCTGCCACGACTGGTGTTTCAGATGCTACAGCGAGGTGTTTTTTGAACGAAATGAGAACAAAACAGAGATCATGCTGATCCGTCTCCAGCACCGCTCCCCAGTCCCTCAACCAGTTATCCAATTAATGCATTTGACACTAGTCTGAAATTTGATAGAAAGGTAAACACAGTTGTCAAATCATAACCAAGATCAGAAAGTTCTTGTCACCTAAAGATTCACCTTTAAAGGTCTTTTTATTATTATAATTAATTAGACTCAATTAGTGCAACTATTTGTACTTTGGTATCAACCAGGCCTCTATTCACCGCTTACAACTGATCCACAATGCTGTGGCCAGAATTCTTTTGCAAAACAGGGATCATTTTACAACTACACTGGCTTCTTTGCACTGGCTCCATGTTAAGTATCCCTTCCAAACGTCTTGTCTTTGTATTCAAAGCCCTGCGTAGCCTCGCCCCCCGAGCTACATTGCAGAACATCCCATCAGATCTACAGATCAAGAGCTACTAACAGCGCTTCGGTGACAGGGCCTTCACAGCAGCTGCACCGAATCTCTGGAGGCGTTTCTGTGGAAATGTAAGAATCTCTCGAATCGTTTGAAAGGTCCGACTTTTACTCTCTTGCCAACCCCGCAATGTTTCTTGACATGATTTGCATTCTTCTCTTATCTCTGTGTATACGCATGTTTTTCAGTACCAGTGTCTCGTGTTGGGGTTGTGTTAACGGGCCATTTAGGTTGTTTTTATGAAAGAGTTTATAGGACTGCATTAGAAATTTAATTTGTGATTTGTTGAAAAAGATGTTTACTCTCAGCTGGAGTATGCTACTGACAAAAATGTTGAAGTAAAAGAGACAGAGAGGTACATGGTGTTGTTACTACCAAAGTCAGTGTGTGACCTGGAGGCTACAAGTTTCATACCCAGACCTAGATGTGATGTCATAGACCCTGCAGGTACATCCAGGCGTTAAACTGAGATTTAAGATGAGTTTAAGATTGAAGAAACAAACAAACTTTTATCTTGGACAGGTGAAACTCTAACTGAGGTGTGTCCAAACCTCTCTGCAGAAGCTGACGATGTTCTCCCACAGCTCTTTGGCCTCTCCTTCATCACTCTGTCGCAGCTCCTCCACCAGCATGCTCTCCTTCCTCCTCTGGTTGGCTAGTTTAAGCGGCGCGACCTGCTGCTGAGGGGTGTGGCAGGCCAGGCAGTGTTTGGCTTTGACCTTGTTGATGAGAGTGCAAGCCAGGCATGACCACTCCTCTGTCCTGTTGACGGGGACGACACATGGCGGAAACGATGCGGAGGCGTCTGGTGCGGGCGACAGCGGGGACATTTCCTCCTTCAGGATGCTGAGCCGTCGGCTGGGTAGGAGCTCTGGCTGGGCAGAGAGATGTGAAATGGCGAGCGTTGACGGAGAAGGACTGAGGCCACCTTCTGGAGGCGGCACCTCTCTGCGACTGCAGGGAAGAGGATTATTATGACCTGAAGACGCGTCACTGAGCCCTGAGGAGCTTGTGTGCGGATATGAAGCTTCCACTGGTAAACACTCTCCTCGGGTTGAGATGGACAGGGATAGCGCCCGTGCTGCAGGTTCTGGTTGTTGTACTCCGGTTTGATCGCAGACTTCAGGCACGAGCAAGGCGTCGACGGGGATTTGGGGGAGGGACAGTTTGCGTGGTCCGCCACAAGCAGAGCAGGACATGGAGGTAGGAGTGTTCTGCAGAGTGCACCTCAAACATTCCCACACCAGGCTGCTTTTATCTGCATCTTCAGGCTGCTTTTTATTTTGCTGCCTGCACGGCTCAGCCGATGATGGCCTCAGAGGGCCGGAGCAGCTACTGGAGCGCTGGGGCCGGGGCAAGTCTTCAGATGACCCCCGGGGTCCGTCCAGCGCTCCCTTGTAGCCACACAGAGAGCAGGCCAGGCTGTCAGCCGTGTTGGCCAGCGTACAGCGCGGGCAGGACCAACGACCTTGCTCCCTGCTGGTCCCGGGCCACAACCACCGGGTGTCGGATCTTCGCCGTGGGGCTTCACAGATGGAGCAGCGGGGGGGCCCCGGCTGCGTTGAGGAAAGTACAGCAGCCACACGCCCACTGGCTCCTCTGCATGGGCATCGAGCCGGAAGAGAAACTAGAGAGAAAACACAGCACTATTATTATATTATTATTATTAGTGCTGGGCTGGGCAACGATTAAAATTTTTTATCGCGATTAATCTCCTTTATATCTTAGTCCTGAAGTATTTTTGTTAATTGTTTTCATGTATTTTTTGCCATAACATGTGAATTTAATCTCTAGGATCAATAAAGTATTATTTTGTATTGCCCTGAATCAGTAACTGCCATCACTCTCAAAATTGATAATTATGATGTAATTGATTAAAGAACTGAGCTGTCATCCTCTGAAATAGTGTTAGCATCCTCCAAAAAACTAACACACAGCTTAATGGTAAAATTCACTGATCAGGTATCTGCTAATAGCAAGTGTAATGTGAAATATATCAGAGCTGAACTCTGGTTTTATGGAACTTAAGGAGAGAAAAGAAAGAGAAAGCCGGGAAGATGAGGGAAACATCCAAATATAAATGGGTGCATTAGCAGTTCCTGCATTTTTCTATACCCCGAGGTGGCTCGGGGGACAAAATTAAAATGCATGAATATGGAAATGAAACAAGAAGCTGCACTACAGTCTCAACATTAACTGTTCCAACTGGTCCCTCACAGACACAGATAGATGAGACCATCCTCGTGTATTATTCCAGTAAGATTAGTTTACAGTGTTTGCAGAGTGTTCAGTTCTCTGAATCTGGTGCAAAAACACGGTTAAACATCTAAAATTTATGTTCCAGGACAGACCCAGATTATCTCTGCGCTGGCATCCAGGGGGAAATTTAGACTGGAGGAGCCAGCGAGACGTCTCTGTGGAGGCTGGCCCACATTTTAGCAGCTTTGGCATCAAGCCTGAAACTTCCAGCGCGGCCCGACCTGGACGGGTTACTGCAGCGCAAACTGTCTCTAAAGATGCAGGTGTTTCTGTGACGAGGAGCTAATGAAGTTTCTATCCTACTGTATGGGTAAAAACAGCTGATAGTTTCATTTTGTAAACAACAACGAGTCTTTACGTTAACTGAAGGGTGTTTAATGTGTTTACTGGAGTCTAATCTGCACCTGAAAGATCAAATGGACTTCCTTTTTATAGAAATTTGTATTTATCGTTCTACGACAATATTGTACTCGGCGATACACCGATCAGCCATAACATTATGACCACTGACAGGTTATCTCGTTAACATGCCACCTGTCAGTGGTCAGTACCGAGTACAGGGGTGGGTAGTAATTAGTTACATTTACTGTGTTACATGTACTTAAGTATCTTTTTGAGTAAATTGTACTTGTCAGAGTAGTTTTAATGCGTCCGTGATCTGCTACGAGGTAGGCGGTCAGCTGGTCCCAAGTCTGCTAATGCTTTGTTGTCCTTCGGCTTTCAAATAGCACAATCTGCTAATATTTACAGATGAAAATTTAGTGCAGCCTCATCTCAGGGCGACCATACCCACGCTTTGTCAGGCTTTCACACAGTTTATCAAACTGCTCCTGCTTTCTGCCACAATACTATTACCCAAGTAGTTATTTTGATGACCACTTTTACTTCTACTTGGGTACTTGTTTTTGCAAAGTAACAGTACTTTTAATTAAGTACAGAGTTTAGCTACTCTACACACCTCTGTGTATCAAAAGTGGTGCAAGGAAGGAAAAGCTGCGAACCAGCGACAGGGTCATTGATAAACGTGGGGAGGGAAGGCTGGCCCGTGTGGTCCGAGCCAACAGACGAGCTACTGTAGGTCAGACTGCTGAAAAAGTTGATGCTGCTTCCTCAATGGGTCAGGACTGTTTTGGCACACATGATTCAGTCGACTTTGACCAGGACTTGACGATTCTGATTCGACAGCCCTACACTCCTTTGCATATTCCCAGTACACCTTCATTATTTCCTATAAAACACACATTGATAGTTTCGACTGTAAACCAAAGCTGCTCTCAAAGTAAGTGAAAGAGTTTTACATATTTCATTTATTCACTGAACCTGGCGTTTTAAAGTGTAATCAGACAAAGACAATGAAACACAGGAAGATAATTTACTTAAACTTTCTTCTTAAATAGTTTTTTAATGGACGACTTTCTGAGTACATCAAGTTACTTTTACATGAGAATGAATTTTAACTCTTATTTTCACAGGTCTGCTTCTATTAAAATAACCTTCTGGGACATTTCTTTGCAAATGTGCTCCAGAGTTGGTATTCATTATATTATGTATATATATATATATATAAAGCCTTTTATCAATGTGTCCAAAGTTTCTTTTTCTTTTTTTTTTCTATTTGCCAGATTTTATGTAATTATAGTGTTGATTGCCTTTTTCTTGGTTTTCCCGTTCCCTGGTTTGTAACCTGGTTTTGAAAGATGCAGAATAAATAACGTTTATTATTATTAATATTAATCACAATGTGCAGCATTGTTGGTTTCTATTTCTGCTCTAGCTCTTCCACCACCTACTTGATGCTGAGAAGATTTTCACAGCACTGTGAATTTCTTGTCAGCCAAGCTCGTGCGCGTCTTTCCAGACGCCCGTCTACAGTTGAATCTTTGGGGATTTCCCTGGTAGCGTTACGTTTCCTGTCAGAGAGTAACTTGACTCCTGCTAGGACCAAATCTGATGGAGGTCGGGACAATGTGGCAGCAGAGAGTACAGACTATACGCAGCACATTAGACAGAGATACAGTAATAATTAATAAGTGGATTTGAACAAAACTCGGGAAGGCTGGGGTTTACTTTATATCTGCTAAGTCATGTTAAATTCATGAGCACATCCTCAAGCCCTCACAAGTGTAGAATATAAATGGATCAACGACTCCGTTCAGTCGTCACATTTAAGGTGCAATGTGTTAAATAAATCATCACGATCACTCATTTTCACACATAGAACATAGGACTGAGCGCCTTTGCTGGCCTTTGACCCGTGTTTGGATTGCGTGCTGCTGGGTCACATCTGGTGAAGAACAGCGTTGGTTTGTTTACAGCTCAAATCAGGACGACAGCTCCAAGAAACACGTTTACCGAGTTACTGAGGTACGTCTGTGGAGCAAAAACCTGGATAAATCTAAGACGTTTGTCTCTAGAGATTAATTTCCGCCCTGTCTGAGTTGTGTCGGCGCACTGCCACCTCTCCTGGTGACATCCATGGACAGAATCTCAGCTGAGGAGAGCAGAAGTGCATCTCTGCTTTTTGCTGATCGTGCAGTTACGTTGGCATTAATGGCCTGTGACCTCCAGTGAGCGCTGTGCTGGCTTGTGTAGCAGACGAGTGTTTGCACCTCCAAGAAATGAAGTTATTATACCTAAAGTTCAGGAACAAGACCACAGCGCTCTCCCTCTCAAATCCAACCTATACATACGTATATAAGCCCGTCTCTCGGGTTGCTGTCCCCAGTGTAGGAATTAAAGCAGTGCTTCTCAAGCTGGGGAGCATAGAGCCACTGCAGGGGGGCGTGATTAGGGGAAAAGTATTGAGTGGAACTAATAAGATTTATGTAGGGAAATTAAAAAAACAAGAGCTTGCTGATGCTATCTCTGCGCAGCCTACCACACGCTCACGCACGTAAAACATGTATGCACTTATACACACACCTTAGATTCATCAGGAGAGGGGACAAATATTTCAGAGTTTAGCACACGTACCGAGCGCACCTTTTAACACCGCTGACAAGGGCGTCACTTTGTTTTTAAAAGTTGTGGGAACAATAGGGGCTCAGATTAAGGGTGTGAAGAGACAATTAGGTCGTGAGACATCACCTTACGCGACATTAGGTTCAGGAGAACGAGACAAAAAGATCCTTAAACAGTGTTTAAAAGATTATCTTCAATGCTGAGATATAGGCGCGGGGAGTCTGTGGGGACCTCCCCCAGGAAATTCTGATCATTAAACATTTCCTGCATTCTGGTGAAAGTTTCTGCAACACTTTATGGTGGAAATTTCTTTTATTTATGTAAAAGGAAACACAAAATTCAGGTGACAGGTGACATGTCAAAATATAAAAAGCCTTGCAGCTCTCAGGCATTCTGCGCTGCTTTCAGATCTGTTTCTCCTGTAGATCAACTTTTCTGTTCACAGGGAGAGAACGGAAAACTTTGCCAAAAAGAAACTGTGTCAAGAAGTTGTTACTGATCACTGCTGTACGTTTTTGGGGTCATTATATAATCAGTAGCTTGTTTTTTTTATCCTAAGTTTCTTTTTTTGGACAATGCACATTTGTTTCTTCTATATTTTAATTGCACTGCATGTTTTCTTAATGTGCAGATAAACCTTTTTAAAGGCATTTTCAGGCAGTATTTAACTGCTAGTTATATTTCAGAACGTTTTTACTAATTATGCTTGAACTTTGAAAGGACTTTTTCCGGCTTCTGAAGGGGGGCATAATAGAAAAAGTTTGAGAACCGTTGATGTTGGGTCTTGTTTGTGGGAGCGGGGAAGATACAGCTTGAGATAAACAGTGAAGAGATGTTATGTGTAAACAGTCAAACTAAAAGTTCACAAAAACAAGACGCTTTAAGAATGACTGAGGACACACCGGACCGCCTAGCACAGCTAGGACAGCTAACGCCTGGACAGTTTGGCTGTTTGTCCTGCATGTCAGGCCTGAAATAAGGTTTTGTTAAATATAATATTAGACCTGTTACGCTGTAGGGAGGACAAGCAGTGCTGCTCCATTACACAGCAAACGTCACAGATTTAATAAGTGAGGAGATCCCAGTAAAAGGTACGATAACAAGGAAGATTAAGCTCAGCAGGCCAGTAATTAATTGATCGCTTTGCAGTAATTAATCAGAGCAGCAAAATCTGGAAATACAACCGCTTTTCACCTCCTCTAACCCATGTCCTCTGGGAAAACCCCGAAATATCCGATCCTATCCAGGCTCTACAAACTTCACGTGACTTACATAATGTAGTTATTTTAACCCAAACCAAAATCTCTTCCTAAAAAGGTTTTGCTGCCTAAACTTAACCAAACTACCACCGTTTCACAACATTTACCACATGTTAAATGTCATGTGATTAGGTCACGTGACTTGTTAACCCCTCATACATGTAATGACGTGTCCGGGCGTGAAGGGTTTAGTCCTACCTGCGCTCTCGGTGCCTGCTGGGTCGGTGAAGCTGCCGGGGGATGGAGATGCTTTGGCTGCTCCTCAGACACCCCATGATGGGCGAGGGGGGCAAAGCTGCACCCCGGGGTCCAGCGTCATCCTCGGCCTCCTCAACAAGGGAGGAGGTGGAACCTCCCATGATGCTGCTGGCTCAGGTGGAAGCGTCCTGAATGGGGAGGCAGCGTCAGCATCTACTGGTGACACTGAAACAAACTGCAGCATCTCAAATTATGAAGATTTGATGCTTTCTCTTTGTCGTTTATAATATCAAACTCATTATGTTGTGTTTTCTGTTCACAATATATATACAAAATTTAAAAAAATTGTAAATGAATCAATAACATATATACTCTGTAGTTTCAGCCTTAATTGAAAAGATGCATTTTAGAAGTTTGCACATTATGCATTTAACACAACCAGAGTATCAACAATGTACTCTGTTAGCTGAATTTCGGTATGAAATCCTGTGATCAGCCTTATTTTTGGGGACAATAAGATGAATTTACAGTTTTGTCTAATAACAAAATTGCAACATTTATGGTTTAAAGTTTGTTTAAGTTGTATTAAAGTTAAGGTTTGGGTGAGAGCTTCAGCCCTCAGGCCACCCGGTCTTCAGTTTCCCATATAATAACAAACAAGAGGCATTTATTTTCACGTAAAATAATAAATATAAAGTTTATGTTTGCCAACGTTTAAAGTTCATTCTGCTGTTTTCTGTTCAACCGCTGTCGAGAAATCAAGAATTTCCGGTCTCAAATTTTAAGGCTCAGAGAAAATGGAAATTTGAACATCAACAACTGGGCCAACACAATCTGCTGAGGAAGACCATGGTCCAGTGTCAAAAGCTCCAGAACAGCTACAAAATGGACCCTGAGGTGAGACTGTTCTGCCAGCTGCTGTTTCCAAGGTCAAAAATGAACTTTCAGTCTCAAATCATGATTATTCTGTAAACTCTGGTCTGTAGTTTCACATTCACGACATAATAATGTCACATTTATCTGATGTAAAACTAAAATCTGCCTCAAACTGAGGGCTTGTTTTATATGGATTAGTTTAAAAATGCATGATATTGACACACAGGGACGAGTTAGCATCAGTGCCCTGCAAAGACTCAGACTGCTCCTTTGTCTCACAGAGGGAACAGAAGTCATGTCTTGCTTTTATTTTTGGTATCTGGTTGCTTCAGCTCGCTCCACAGATTTGTCCTTGAGCAATCTGCCTGATAACCTCAGGAGCTCCAGCTTCAGATGCGCGAGACACAGAAAACACATGCTCTCTACAGAACATCCACTACTTTTGTGTCCTGATCAAATCAAAATCACATCACATAACATTTGTCTCCTCCTTTGCCCGGTTTGCCAGGGTGTCTTTGAAAGAATAAAACAAATAATTTTCACGACTAAAGAAAAAAACAAAAACTCTGTAGCTCAATGCAGATGGATCCCTGCTGATGCTGAAGTTCGCACAGACTTTACAGGTAACCTGGTGCACCTGCAGTACTGCTGCTGGCTGAGTGAGAGACTGCAGAACAACAAGAGGACATTCAAACCAGCAGCAGCTCTGTGAGCAGCTGGACTCACCTGTGTGCAGACAGGACACGTTGTGCAAGGAGGAGATGAATGGTCCTTCCAGCTGTCTGAGATCTCCATGCATCCTCTTTAATTTTAGCCCCCGATGTGCACAGTCACCACCGGGCTCCTCTCATCAGCACCGTCAAGCCTCAAGGAATTAAAAAAAAACACACTTCCTGTCACAATGTTCAAATTAAAAGTATTGATGGGTTACAACTTTTTTTTCTTTTTTTTTTGTCAAAACGGGGTTAGGGTGTTGATGAAATTATAATTTAAAATGAAGCATGGCACATTTTAATAGCGTTTGAGGTTTTGGACTCCTGGCTGGATAAAACAAGCACATTGAAGACATGACCATGGGTACTGAGAAAATTTAATTGAATGTGAATGAATTAAAAGTAAAATAAAAATCTTTGGTTGCAGTCGTAAATAGCAGTTTATAAAAATCTTGTGGTTGTGCCATATTTCACATAAATAACAAATAATCAGAAATCTTCTCACGTACACTGTTCGATACCGACTGTAAAACAACAACGCGTTGGCCAAGATAACGAATCAAATCCTGACATCAGAGAATTTTTTTCTTTATAGATGCTTAGATGATTGGACAATGAATCCATTATTAAACTTGTTAATGATTAAATTTTCTTGTTCGGGCACTAATCATGACCCCTGTAAGCAACTAGCAATCAGCAGAAACATCAGTAAAGCTTAGCAGAAATGCAGCAATCTAGCATTATTATTCCACTTTAATTCATTTTAGGGAAATTCAGATCAGACTAATATATTATATAGTGGCCAATATTTACATCCTTACCCACCCTTCTTCTATTTGTGTTCAGACCTTTTATTTTGAAGGTAATTTCCCTCTGGTGTCGGACTTCCGGTGGCTAACTGCAGCTGACTTGGCGCAGCTCTCCTTCAGCTCGCCGCCGTGGACAAAGGTTTGCTTTTCTCCTCAGGGACATTTCCAGGACAGGACACCGGGCAGCAGCCTGGACGTATCGACCTCTAATCCGGTCAAGATGAATATCTTCTTCCCCCATTACGGCTGAGGACAATGAAAGCGCAGAACCTCGAAACATATCCGTCCAGTTCCATTTCCCTCCCCACACACCAAACTCCATTATAAATCCAGTAGTAATTTTGTCTGGTTTATTATTAAATATGTGAACACCTGGTGAAACATTGATTAGTCTTTCTTACGAATCGTTAGTGCTTTCTTCTTGATTCGGCATATAAATAACACACAAAGCAGCACTTTATTTCCAGAAAATCTAGCAGAAGTTCTCAGATTTTAAGTAGTTTAACGTTGTTCAAATGTCTTTATAAACGCCAGAGATTCACTGGATTATTAGCAAAATAATTATCATCTTGGAAAACTTAATTAACCCAAGTTCACTTGACTTTATTTGATTATCCCTGAAAATTGCAAATGTCTGAAATTTACATTATTTCTCAGTATTGCCCAACTAAACTTGGTCTTTACCTTCTTTGGTTATGGAAGGAAATGAAGCCTTGAAACACATTTCTACAGTAAACACCTTGGAACAGCCTGTTATTGCACCCTCAGAAGCTTTAGTTGTACAATTGTATATATCATATATCATATTAATGAAGGAAGACGGAGCAGCTTTTGACTGGTAGTTGTGTGTGTCTGTATACCGTGTAGGTAGTCCTACTTTACTGCAGTACAAGAACAGAAATCCACACCAACAACACATAATATAACAAATGTTATTGCTTTGAAGAAGAACAGTCATGCTACAGTAACATTCACTGAAAGTTGATTTTTCCAAATTAATACCAAAACTATGTAACGTGATTAAAATAAACTGTAAAGCCTCTGGATGCAGGACAACCTTGTCTCTCACAGTAAGTGCATAATCATTCGTAAATCCTGAATCTGTCACGTCGTCTATGCACATCAAGACATTCACACCGTTGAACATTAATTAACACGATGAGCCGGATTCAGAATTGGATGATATTTGATTCAAAGATGCTGCGTGTCCCTCGGTCCAACAAGACTACAAATCTGTAGCCAAACCTGCAGTCCTGTGAGGCCGTAATGCCCGTTACACTGAAGAAAACAACATTTCTGGACAGAACGAAAAAAGTAAAGTTAGAGGGAAGGTTGAGTTTTTAATCTACATCTAAAAGAGGTTTATCCTCTGTACGGTGGCCTTTTTAGGACATCTAGAGCCACATTTGGACGTTTACAGCCCCAACTACCTTCTGATTTTCCTGAGAAGCTTTACATTTTAAATGTATATCTGAGTTTTTACACATACTGTGGAGCTGTTTACTGCTACTGAGTTATTTAAGGATCGATCACTCAGGCAATGAAGGAAAAAGTTTCCAAGAACAAGACCAGTTCAGTAAATGTGCCGCTGGGATTCTGTCTTTCCTGGTCTACAGCCGACCTATTGTGATGCGTAGTAGCAGCGGTCTCTTTCTTACTGTAAGTAGTTTGCAGCTGTCAGAGCTGATCATTAAATTGCTGCTAAATAATTACCAGTACATAACAATCAATGCTAGGCAGCATGTCACGGAACCAGCTCCAGTCATCTGCCAGTGGCTAAAATGCTGAAACTTTTATTACGATGGAAGTCGGGTGATAAATATTTAATTACCCGCCTGCTGCTGTAATATTAACCCTGTCCAAATGTGGCTCCGCTTGTCAGGCTCAGCAGTAAACCAGCTTTCATCAGTCTGAGTTGGACTTCCTATCTAAGCGGAACATAAATTGAATTTATGAGAAAGTGCAGCTGGGGCTGATGGGAGTTGTACAGTATTTTAGAGGCGTCATGAACTAAAGTGTTTCACATAGTGGCGGGACGACGCCCAAGGTCAATAGAGATCATCATCCGAGGACCATGAAGTCCTGCACAACATTTCAACAGTAACCCGGATTGTAGTTTTGTTTTGTTTTCCCTGGACCAAAGTGTTTGACTGACTGACAGACGACTGACTAAACAAACTCTTAACTGACGAATGGAGAAAAGGGGATGTAGAGCAACTGAAGATAAAGATCACTGCCTGTTCTGATGAATTAAAACATTCAACAGATTTGTGTTTCTGTGGTAAACTGAGTCTCCTGAAGGCACCAAAGTTCCCAGCTGTCTGGTTAAGGCTTCTTCTTCTTCTTCTTCTTCTATGGTCCCTTTCTCCAAACCTCCTCTCCAGAAATGTAGGTGGCTCTGACGTTGAGGGCGTCGTCGAGCAAAACCAGGTCTGCAACAGAGTGGTGCAGTCACAGATACAACACACATACAGTAAACATACTTCTTGTGCGTGTGCTGATGCAGTAAATCCTGACCTGCGTCTGAACCGTAGTCCAGGTTTCCCTTCTTGTTGCTGATACCCAGAAGTTGAGCAGGATGCAGCGAGGCAGCTTCCAGAGCTTCCTCTACACTGCAGCCTGTCAACACACACAAAACAGGTTGTTGGGGTAAGCTAAGTGGACGCTAGGGCTGAATACCTGGACCCGAGGTCTGGCTGTTAAAGGGAATTCTCTCCAAAATCTGTGACCATATCCAGGAAAAAATGGCTGCAGGATTCTGAGAGTTTTATAATTCATTATCC